TTTTTATTTATTTATTTTTAATAAACTTAATGAATAAAATTGAACAAAATTAGAAGTGGCTGCTAAAGTAGGGGAGAAGGACTAGTTTTGATTGGTATAAATTCGTATACTTACATACATATATGGATTGTTTTGTTGTCAAATACTGTATTGTAAATTCCTTTATAGCTTTGGCCTGGGCTTGTAATCCATGAGTTCCTGGCATTACTTCAGAGGATTTGGACTCATAGGTCTCAAAATATGCAGTTTATGTTAATATAGATTATATTACTATATGATTCTGGTTTAATCAGTTGCTTTAAAATATTGCCTGAGCTTGATTAAACCAAAGGCAAAACTCCAAATTGCCAAATAAATATGAAATTTATAGGAGAAACCATTCATGAAGGGGAATATACATATATACTTCATTTCCTAATGGACTATATTTATATACTATATACATGCATACATATTTACAATACATATATAAGTTTGTGCATATTTTTGGGAAGCTGTCGCTTTGTCTTTGTGTTTGTCTTGTTGCTGCTCCTGTAAAAACATTCAGCATTGAAAAGGGGTTCGCCTGGCAACCCATGCTTAATTTTATGTCTGTGTGTATGCGTGTCTGTTACACAGTAATATAGCAGAAGCAGAAGAAGAGGAAGAAGCACCGAAAAAAAGCCGCTCAAACCTTCAAAAATGGTTTCAATGTCATGTAACCCCCATTTTACATGTGTAGCGATATGCAGCCGCCGCATGCGTTCGGCTCTCTTTGTGTGTATGTGTGTGTGTGTGTGTGTGTGTATGTGTGTGAGCTGGCTGGAGAGGGATAAAGAGAGAGCGAAAACACACACATACATACACAGAACACGCACTCACTGGCAAAGCACCCAATTATGTGTGAGGTAGCAAATGCTCATGCACACACACACACTCGCATGCACTTAAAAGCCCGTTCAATATTCGTACAGTAGAAATGATTTCGAACCAAAAACGACATAAAAAACACAAACTTCCAAATTCCCTGTAACTCGCTCGCTCGCTCTCTCCCCCTCTCTCTCTCTTTCCATATGCCTCGCTGGCTTTGCACTTCCCGCTTGGCAGCTAATCTAGTAAACGGGGGATGACCGCGTAGCCATGGGCGGGGGGACAAGGGCAAGGGCAACAGCAACGGCAAGGGCAAGGGCAACGGCAAGGGCAGCTGTAAGCCGCTGTCTTGCCAACAGCCCAGTCCAGCCCAACGCAGGGCAGCGCAGCGCGGCGCGGCGCAGCCCAACCCAAACGCATCGGATCCAATCTAAACCCAAGCCCAACCCTTGGACATTACAAGGCGCTTGGTATTCATAATGTAGCGACTGTTACAATACTCTGTGCGCGGGCATGCCAAAAGCGGGCATATTAGCACGCTTAGTTTTCTCATAGATGAACTGAATGTAATGCGAATTCTATTTGACTTCGATTGCACTTTGAAATGGTCGAGTAATCCATCGGTTGAGCATATTGCAGCTGGGCATAGCCGTTTGCATTGTTTTTGCTTCTCTGATTCTCTCTTTGTTTTCTTTTGTTGCATTTCGATTTGCATTTTAATCAATGCCATTGAACTTGACGTTTATTAAAGGCATGTGCAGCTACTCGTTACGCGTTACGCTTTACTCGTTACTCGTTACTGTTTACTGGTTACTCGTTACGCGTTACGTGTTACGTGTTACATGTCTTTGGAAGCACCTGTACATACGTACAGTACTCTTACCTGGTTTGCTTAAATGGCGATACTGTGATTTATATCGTACTATGAACTGTATTATATACATATGTATGTATGTGTAGCTACGTGTCTATACGCATGTATATGCATACATACATATATAGTTACTTGATCCTAATCAGCCTCAAGTCGCTTATCGCCACCGTTGTTGTTGCTGCTGCTATTTGTTGGCTTGATAGCAGTGACAATACTTTTAAGTATACATGCGTGATATAGGGATGTCTAGAAGTATGAACGCACTATCACACACACACACTGCCACATATGCATACGTATATAGGCACACTCATATATGTATATAAATCGCAATTTGCGCCTCGTACTGAGCCCCATTCCAAGACTTTCTTCCAAGTTCAAATATAGTATACATACATATGTGTGTATATACATACACACATGTATGTATGTACACATGTACAAAACGTAGCGCACTTTCTCACATCTGCTTTTAAAATCGTTTTAAATGAAAATTTGCAGAACTAAAACTTTTCTTTGTCATAGCTGATTCATTTTTTGTTCCATAACAAAGTGTATTTAATTGAGTCCGAAGTTGTTGTTGAAGTGATATAACTTTTGCAACTTTCAAATCTATATATATTCATAGAATACATTTCAGAAGTGTAATATATTTCTATATAAGCTCTATATCATGATTAAACAGTCGAACAATTGGAATTGACCTTGTCGAAATCGAAATTCACTTGGTAAATACATTTCCCATAAGATTTCTAGACATGCCCTATATGCTATACATACCAAAGTGAATCTGAATTTCCAAAAAAAATTTCAGCTGATTTCTCTTCAGATTTCTAGAAGCATACCGAAGCACCAAAGTACTTCTCATAAACAAAAATATTCCTTAAATTATTCATTCTCAGATCTAGATCCCAAAAGTAGCTGTCTATAATAGCGATCGAGTTTAGTTACACTCCTCGATCTCTTTTAACAATTTCACGCCAATAACAGCTCACTTTAAGTGCAACTCGACGATCCCCGTCCCCCCTGCAATGGGGAGTCGGATGGCAGCGTGCGGTGCCTGAGTCATGGGCCAACATTGGATACGTTTCGGTATCACTTTACACTAGCTTCATTTTGTCGAGTTGCTCGTTTTGTGAACCTTTTGTTGCAATTTTCGCCGCTTTCTTTCAGGTGGCAGAAGTGAAAAGCAAGCCACAAGCGAGCAGATGAAATACCGTTGCTGGTTGTTCGACTTTCGATATCGAATACGTGTATTCATTTAGACTATGGCGAATAATTGCCTGGAAGCAATGCAAAGGAGTTGGGCGGAAGTGATTAACAG